CTGGGCCAGCAGGTGCTGAATCATGTGACCATTCCTGGGTTTCATTCCATGAATGGTCCTGGCCTGAGACAACTTGTTAAATCTCTGGTCCCCTGACCACAGGCCCTGAGAATGTCTGGTGGTGCTGGGCTGCCGACCGCGGTGCCTCCTGAGCTTGTTGCTTTATTTTTGTGACGAGGACTTGCTGCATCTTCAAAGTAAAGACATGCCAAGCCCCGTGGAATTCTCTATTAACAGTCACGTGACATGGGTCTCATTAAACATCACTGGTTTCTAATTAAATGTCTTCTCCTCACAGGCATTTTGGGGAATTGTAATTGATTCTACTACCAAGAAGCAGTCAAAGTCGAAACTCTTAAATGTATCAAAGCACATGGTTCGACCTGGCCGGGTGGCTCAGTGGTTGAGCGTTGACCTATGAACCAGGAGGTCAGGGCACCTGTCTGGGTCGCAGGCTCGATCCCCGGTGTGGGGCGTGCAGGAGGCAGCCGATCAATGATTCTCTCATCATGGATGTTTCTCCGTCTCTCTCCCTCCCCCTTTCCCCTCTGAAATCAATAAAAATACATTTTTTTAAAAATAAAAACGCCCACAGTTGGCAGCTTGAGAAGCAGAGGCTGCCCCTCTGTCCAGGAGATGACGCGATAAACACTGCAGGTCGGACAGACTCGGCCCACCTGCTGCATAGAGTAGACGGAGAACAACAGCCACAGAAGCGCCCCCCCCACCCCGACTCCCACAGCTTCAGAACCTGTACCGGGCTCAGGGGATGGATTTATGTTTGGCTTCACGCACTGGCGTTCTTGTTTTGGTTTTAAAACAACAGCACAGTCGGCGTCAGAAGTGGAGCGAGCTTCGCGGTGACCAAAGCCCATCCTGTGGGGACCCCCCCCCCGTCTTCTCTCTACACCCCGGGCCCTTTGTCAGGAGCCCTGGCCCCACTGCTGCCTGGGTGCAGGTGGGCGCGCCCCACAGGCCGTTCCCCACCGCGTCCTTCAGCCCCGCGTGAGATCCTTCTCAGATCCACTTCAGAGGTCACCCAGCCCCTCCTCCGCTCACCAGGTCAGTGTGAGGTGGCACCAGGGTCCGCAGGCGCCTCCGTTCCAGCAGCTCCCTCGTTTCCATGGCATTTAAGCCAACATTGGCCTTTAATCTCCCTGCAAATCCAGCCCCACTCCATCTCATTCCTATTTCTCATTCAAGAAGATCAGCCAACTGATAAAATGAGTATTTTCCTTAATCATTTAGAATTATGGGTCAATTCCCTAGGAATTTCACACTTTTTGTGTGGCTCAGTCAGAGCATGTGGCCATGATGAAGGGCTATGTTTTTTTTTCTTTTTAAAGCATAAGACTCTTCCTGGATGGGACACAAGTAAAGCACTTCAATAACACAATCCACACAAAATTGTTGTTTCCAGATAAGAAAACACAGGACGATGACATGCATAACTTATAAATGCTCTTCAGCTGCAAAGAGAAGAAAAAATCGTTTGAAAAATCTGGAACCAACCTGTTACTCTTTCTCTATATGAACAAGGGAAAGTAACACTGGAAATTTCTTTGGGGGGTGATTATTTTTCTGTCCATTCAGTAGATCAAGAGCAGACTTAGGTCTTCATTACTCTATATAGAGGCCCGACGCACAAAAATCGTGCAAGAGCAGGCCTTCCTTCCCCAGCTGCCAGCACTGGCTTCCCTCTGGCACCCGGGACCCGGGCTTCCCTCCACGTTTATAATGAAAGAGTAATATGCTAATTAGACCGGACATCCTTCCGGACGAAGCCGGGGCTGCGAGGGAAGCCCGGGTCCCAGGTGACAGAGGGAAGCCGGTGCTGGCAGCCAGGGAAAGGAAGGCCTACTCTTGCATGATTTTCGTGCATTGGGCCTCTAGTAGATAATAAAAGCCTAATATGCTAAGTGTCTGGTCGGCCGTTCAACCAATCAAAGCATAATATGCTAATGATATGCTAAGGCCGCTCAACTGCTCGCTATGACATGCACTGACCACCAGGGGGCAGTCGACCGGTCGACCAGTCGCTATGATGTGCACTGACCACTGGGAGGCAGACGCTCCAACTGGTAGATTAGCTTGCTGCTGGGGTCTGGCCAATCGGGACTGAGCGAGACAGACTGGACATACTCCGGAGCCCTCCCCCGGGCCCTCCCTGGCTGGCCAGCCTCTCATGTCCCTCCCCGGCCCCAAGTGTGCACCAGTGGGGTCCCTCAGCCTGGCCTGCGCCCTCTCGCAATCCGGGCTGAGGGACCCCTCCTCCCCCGAGTGCACGAATTTCGTGCACCGGGCCTCTAGTTTTTAATAAACTTTTATCTCATGAATCAAGTTTTGATTCATATTGATACATGGAGAGCTAAACAACATTCTCACATTTCCCTGAAAGTAAGGAAATCTTTTGTTATTAATTCAAACAATCTTCTCTCACTTTAGATACAGATTGGTACAACCTTAAGTAGAACAAAATTATGATAATATTGATTATACTAAGAATGTCAACAGCAGTAATAATTAGATGGGTTGCTGCTTGTCAGCCCCATGGAAACTGTCCCTGGAGAAATTAGCCAAATGAGAGGAAAACAGAAATCCTCTTCCGCTCGATCCAACTGCGTAACCGGGTCCTGCCGTGGTTGCTTGGCTCTAACCCTGCTCGCCCCACGGGGACGAGACCTGCAGCCCCTGGGAGCCCTGAGCGAAAAGGGTGTGTGATGGTTGTTTTGTTTGGTATGTTTGGGCTTTCTCAGTTTGTCATTTTTACCAAGAGTTGAGTTTTTAGTTAAGTTTATTGGGGTGACATCGGTTAATAAAATCATACAGGTTTGGGGCGTACATTTCCATGATGCATCATCTGTATACGCGTCGTGACTTCACGGCCCCAAGTCCAACCTCCCCCCTCACCACAGACTTGACCCGTGTGGAGTGCGGTTTTCACATGACTCGTTATTCAGGCGGAGGCGGGGAAATGGGGACGTCTGCATTGGCGTTAACATTAAAACGTTTTAATAAGAAAAGGATTTAGTTTCTTTCAAACGCAGACACAGTAGAAGTTGACAGGAAATTCTCGCTATTAAGTGGTAAAAGTGTTAGAAGAGCAGAGGACTGGCCTCCGTGACCCAGCGGTGCTCACTCACTCTCGTGTCCATCCCCGGACGTGCACAGCGGTTGTCTGACCACATTCCAGGGGGAAATGCCTGCGGCTCAGGGTCGTGCAGTCGGAGACAGGGGCTCAGGTCGCCGGTCTGACCCCGTCCTGTGCCACCACCCGGGGAAGCACCCAAGCTGAGCCCCGCCTGCAGCAACCTGGGCCACGGAGGCAGGATTTCCTGTCCTTTCGGGTTTAATCCTGTGATTCCATCTCCAGCTTCTTTTATGGCATCCGCCGGCTTACACCAACAGGACTGGGGCCTAGCACCGCCGGAGCGTAGTCTTCAGCTTTAGGAAAACAATATTTTTGTAGATATTTCACGTGTCCTATTTCTTGTCTCTTATATTGCTAATAAAGTGGTCATTTTTTGAAGGGATGCTATTTACCCCTGAAACTCATATTTATATGACTTTTAAAAACTTATTGAATGCCCTACCCAGTGTGGCTCAGTGGATAGAGCGTCAGCCTGTGGACTGAAGGGTCTTGGGTTCGATTCCCGGTCAGGGCACATGCTCGGTTGCAGGCTCGGTCCCCAGTAGGAGGCGTGCAGGAGGCAGCTGGTCAGTGATTCTCTCATCATGGATGTTGCTATCTCTCTCCCCCGCCCCCTTCCTGTCTGAAATCAATAAAAATATGTGTTTTTAAAATGTAGTGAATGGTGCTGTGAGTCACTGGAGACCACACACTGCTTTGCTCCATGATGACGCCTCCAGATGTGCATTCTCCTCACTCAGCTACAGGCTCCTCAACACAATGAGGAGGAGGAGGAGGAGGAGGAGGAGGAGGAGGAGGAGGAGGAGGAGAAGGAGGAGAAGGAGAAGGAGAAGGAGAAGGAGAAGGAGAAGGAGAAGGAGAAGGAGAAGGAGAAGGAGAAGGAGAAGGAGAAGGAGAAGGAGAAGGACCCAGGACGGGGGCGGGGAGCGAGTTGAGTAACCCAAGGTCACATTGCATGGTCCAGTTTATCAACAGCTTCTAGGACAGTCTTCGTATCCGCTTCACACATGAGATGGAAGCAGGAAATGATGAACAAAGGAAGGTTCTATATGATCCAAAGATTCAGAGGAAAACAGAGCTGACCTTCTCAGCAAGTGCATAGATATGGCTGCTAAGATTTGTGGAACGGGAGTTGCTAAGATTACAGTTTCAATGAGACAGTGTCTGGCAACTAGCAATGGGAAGACCCACCACCACTCGTTTCTATAAAATCATACGGATAAGAAGACAATAACGAATATTTGAAAAAGGTAGAGAATTAGTCCCTGATTTTGAACTCCATTAAGAAATAAAAATAGATAAAATATGAAACATGTAATATAATTGTGTTTTTATAATGTGTATAGGTCTACAAGTCCATGTGTGTATTGTATTTACACTGAGTGGCCAGATTATGATGACCACCCCATCAGTACAGTGAAGTGAATTAGTTATGCAAATAATAATAATAAAACCTTGAGAGTATTTGCTTAGAAAGTTTTCAATATTCAGTATTTTGGAAGTGTCAATGAAGTACTGATGGGGTGGCCATAATAATCTGGTCACTCAGTGTATAATCAACAAATTGTAAAATTTACATGAAAGTCTGTACACATAATGGAGATAAATGAACCCAAAACACCACACTTTCCATTTCAAATTCGATGATTTATTGGGTATTCAGCCTAAATCATTGGGAGTTCCCGAAGCTGCGCATGGCCGGCCTGGTGCAGACACGCTCATAACGAATACGTTCTCTGACATTCGGAGATTTCTCTTGACCGCAGGCCTAGGGTCACTCAGCCACTGGCAGAGGGAAGGTTTGGCCAATCCACGCCTGGTACCAGCCGCTGGCTTCTAAGGCAGAAGTTTAGTAGAAGCCAGAGTATCCGTAGCCTCCCCAGCCAGAGCCATAGCCCAGGCCCCCAAGGCCTCCCCAGCCATAGCCCAGGCCCCCAAGGCCTCCCCAGCCCCAGCCGGAGCCATAGCCATAGCCCAGGCCCCCGAAGCCGCCCCAGCCGTAGCCGCGGCCTCCGTAGTAGCTGCCATAGTAGCTCATGGTGTCAGGGGGAGTGTGTTTCTGTTCAAGACGAGATCCTGAGAGTGAGTGTCAGCGAGTGGGGAGGGAGCTTATATACCTGAGCCAGCAGGTGCTGAATCACGTGACCATTCTTGGGTTTCATTCCCAAAGATTCATGGCCCTGAGGCAGCTCATTAATCTGTTTGCTGACGCCAGAGATGCTCATATGTATTAAAATGTGGAGCCGGCACAGCTGCCTGGTTAGAACACCCTGGAACCCATCATGACATTCTTTTTAAGTAGAAGCATATCTGCCTTCCACGTCACAGAATAAAAACTCACTAAACACAATTCTCCATTCCTAAGCGCGTGGCATTCGTCATATTGGTTGGCGTGTTCTCATTAAATGTTGTGTCATTTTATTTTGCATATCATTCTTTGGATTTTTCTATTTTACTTTCATCTCAGTTCAAATACCCTTATCCAATGTAAGATTCTTTTTTTAAAAAATAAATCTTTATTGTTCAGATTATTACAGTTGTTCCTCTTTTTCCCCCC